TCCCCTTTGTCATTGTAAGAAAGAAAAAGAGGGGAATAATACAATGGTGTAATTCATTTCCCTTTATATCAATTCTCTAAACATCACATAAGGTATACAACCAAAAATACAAAAGACTTGCACATAATAAAAATCATATCAAAAAATATATAATATCAAAGATCATGTGAATACCAAAAGACATGATTCATTTTGATCTCTTAAAAAAAATAAAAAAAAATCTTAGGAGACCAAATAGTAAGGGAAATCTTAGGTCATGAATTCTGAAAAAGATATTCTCTTTAGTAAATAGTAAAAAGCAACATAGGAGAATAAAAGATCTTGATTCATGTATAAGAAATCTCAAGTTGTCAAGATCATGATTTATATATTAAAAATTTTAAGTTATAATTCCTAGAATGTAAAGAAAATTCATAATTCATTTAGATACTTCTCCTTTTGTAAATAGTGAAAAAAAAAACATAAGAGATAATAGATCTTGATTCATTTAGAATAAATCTCAAGTATCAAGTGAAAAATTTAGAAAAAAGTCATTCAAATTTAAATCATCAAAATCACTTTCATAGTTCAAGAGATTCATAAAATAACATAAATTCATCAATCTCTTATTAAAAAACTCGATAAAATAGAGATTAAAAAATTTTCAAGAAAAATGCTTTCCTTTTTTAGTTGTTTTAATTTATGTAATTAATTTCATACAAGCATGCCCAAGTTTTTTTTATGTTAAAACCATGCATCATGTTTAAAATCGAAAAACAAGATTTATCACAAAATTCATCAAGACTTCAAATCATCATGCATAATTAAATCATTAAATCATCAAGCATGATTTCATTAAACATAAAATATTTTCAATCAAAATTATTTTATTTCGGCTAGTGAGCTTTGTGAAGTGTGTTGGATCTCTGGTCATAAGCCTTGAGCATCCACTATTAAAATTTTATTTTTGCTCTCAGCTTTCGATTGTAGAGATGTCTATAAGAAATGTGGGTTTCCTTTAGGTACACATTTGACTTTAGGTCCCTCATGGTTAGATTTATCTATCTTGATTTTTAGCATAAGGTCATTTATAGTTCCTTTAGGAACCCAAACTAATTTGTGTAGATCATACCTTTTGAATAGACATTTATATGTAAAATGATCATGTCTACTACAAAAATTACACTTAACCTTAAGGGTAATATGCAATATGAGTTCTTTAACAAATGTGATTGGCTTTTGTTGAGTGTTACTACTCACAAAGCCGATTCCTTCTTTTCTACGAACATGACTCTTATTGGCAAGAATCATGTTTAAAGATTTGCTACCAATTTCAAAATTTTCTAATATTTGTTTTAGTTATAAATTTTCCTTTTTGCATGAATCTAATTCTTCACATTAAGTGCAAAAGGTTAATATGCAATTATCATGCTCATTTTTTAAATTCACTAGAAAGAGAAGCATAATCTTTTTTAATAATTTATAATTTTTATTAACTAATTTAAATTCATCAAATAAATCATGAAAAGCATCAAGCAATTCATTATAAGATAAAGTCATTTTGGTTGAGTCATTTACCTCATCGTTGAAAGTCATTAAGGCGTAGTTCGCCACTTCTTCTTTGTTGGTTTGCTCCTTTGTTGAAAGTCATTCGAAACAGGCTTTGTCTTTAAGGTGACTTAGGATGAATTAAGAAGAAGCTACCAAAGAAAAAGACAGTATTCACTTAGCTTCATTTGAAACAATTCAAAATTATGCATCAAAAGATTTATTTTAGACTCTTTAACTCTACTTGTGTCTTCATATGTAATTTTAAGAGTATGCCAAATGTCATATGCAATTTCACAAATCGAAATACGATTAAACTCATTTTTATCTGAAGCATAAAATAAAGCATTCATAGCTTTCACATTTAAAGAAAAAGTTCTCTTCTCCAAATCATTCCATTCATTCATTGGATTAGAAGACTTTTAAAAACCATTTTAAATGATATTCCATAAATCGAAGTTCATTGAAAGCAAGATAATCCGCATTCGAGTTTTGTAATATGTATAGTCTATCCTATTGAACATAGGAGGACGAATGATAAAAAGACTCTTGATTACCGGTAAAAGTCATTTCTCTTGGATGTTAAACCAAACGAGAAAAACATTGGCTTTGATACAAATTATTAGGATCGAAATCAACACTAAGAGGGGTGAATTAGTGCTTTCATAAAACTTATGTCGATTCTAAAACTTCATTCGATAAAACTGTATCAAAAAGATGTTTAACTTAAAAACATACGAAAGCATAATGAGCATAGTAAGAGTAAGAAATCAATTTGTAATGTAAATAAAAAGTGTAAAGTAAATGCAAACCAGATTTTATAGTGGTTCGGTCGCCCTGACCTATATCCACTCCCGATTCATCTTCACTCGAGGCCACCGACTTTCACTACCGATCTTCTTTCCAATGGGCGAAGATCAACTACCCTTACAACTCTTTCTCCTTTTCATATGCTCGGGTGAAAACCTTTACACCTCTCTTATAGACCTCACTCCTCCCTTAGAAACCTGCTAATTCTATAAGGAAGATACTCAATAACTTTAGAGACATTACAATACTTTTTTTTCAAGTATATTTTTTTCATTTTCTACTCAATTTTATGCTCTTCCAAGTAGAAATAATTGGGATATATATAGACCCCAAATAAATTCAAAAATAAAGCCAAAAAATATCTCATCATGGGTTTCCCAAGTCCTAACAATATCATCGCTTGCAATACTGACACTAGGCGATATCATTGCCCAAACTGGTAGTACCACCGCTTGTGTCTACGCAGTACCACTACCCAGTCTAATAGTACCACCACCAATAGCCTAGAAAAGTGTGCTCTTGATTTTTTCAACTCATAGGTGGTTTCACCTAATCTTGGTTGACCAAATGGGCATTCTATTTAGCCCAATGTGTCCCTAATTGAGTTAATATGGTTACACCCGAAATCAACTCAATTATGACCTAACTACATCTAATTAAGACAATCGATTACAAGACTAGAATTTTAAGTTGTCCGGCATGTCATTGGTTTATTCGACGCTTCGTCCGATTCTTCGGCGTATCATCCTCTTCTTCGACATATTGCCCAATCGATATGTTGACCTCTCGTAACTTCCAATCTCCTTGCCGTAATGTCCGATCCTTCGGCTCGATGCTCGAACTCACGGCATGAAGTCCTTCTGCCGGTACATCGACCGATCCTCCGACTGACGTCCAATCTTTTAACATATTTACTCCGGCCCAATGTCTGATTCTTTCTACTTTAATCAATTTACCTTTTCTGATTGAAATTAGTTCTGCGTCACTTAAAACGTAAATTAAATTATAAACTCATCAATTGATTTTATCATCAATATCCAAGATTCAACAGTTTAGTCTAAATCTATTGGCTCATATTTGGGTAGGGTTGACTAGTCTAATTTAGGATTTTATACAAAATTTAAAAAATATAAATAATAATTTTCTTTTATAGTTTTCTTATATGATATATTGGTAAAAGTTTTACTTGTGATAATTAAATTTTAATTATTATTTTTTGATATTTATAAAATTATTCATATATATATATTTAAAATTATAAAAATAATATTTATTTTTTTATAAAAGTATTATTTATGTTTTATCATGATTATAATTATCATATGAGTTTTCTTTTATATTGATTAATATTTAATAATTATTATGATTATTATTTTATTGTTATTAAACTATTTTTGTATAAATTAGATTAAAGAAGATTTAGTAAATATTATTTTTAATTTATATCCCTAAGTTTTATCTAACCAGTAACTACTAAAGTGGCATAGAATGAGACTTATAAGATATGAATTATAATAAATATTTTATCATTCATAGAATATTTTAAACTCTATTTTTATATTATTATACTAGTCTTGTAACCACTAAAGTAGTCTAGATCAATAACTTATAAAATTAAATTTAAAAATCAGTCCTAAATTATATTAAAAATAATATTCATAGTGACACACATAATTAGGAGATTTAGATAATCTCAACTAAAAATATATTTCGAATAATTATATAATAGGTATGATAATATTATTTTATATATCCTTATAGTTTAGAATTGTATAGAAGGTCATTTCTATTTATAGGCAAAAGTAAAGGGTCTATAATAAGTAATTAGGAGAATCCCTTTCATTAAGATCATCTTCTAAAGAATTATATTATAATTAAATCTTTTTTTTATTGATCGATAATCGTAATCTAATTAAATTTATAATATATTTTATCTAATTAAATATTATCACATAATCGAACAAACACATCCTCGTAATGGATTTGGCTATTCAAACTTCAAATGACAACAACCAGTTGTTTATTTTCAAAGATGCATGGGTTCGGTGATTGACACGTTTCAAGCCAAAAGTTTTATCCGGAACTGAGGTTTTGGAATGCTATGTCTGGGTTGTAACGTAGTGATGTAGGAGAAGACAATGGTTGGTTTAGCTTGTGATACAACCGACGTATCAGTGGGATCAGTCGATGTGGTACAGTGTGTGAGTGGCAATGGAGGCTTGTTTGGTTGGTTTTCAGAATGCATGCCTTGTGTAAAGGCCAGTCTGTGACAGTAGCGTTCAGTCTAATAAAACAATCGAAGTTGATGGATGCATTCTAGAAGTCACATGTAAGGTCTAATAACCTATCAGCGTTAGCATCAAACTGTGGGTGAGGCCAGAAAATATTAGTTTTGTGAATCAGCAAGGTCAAACAGTTTTACTATACCTAGGATGACTCCGCATTTACTTTTTCAGTATTAGCTTCTAGCAATTGGCTTATGAAATGTAGTTAGTGCAGAACAAAAAACTTCAGTCACAGCTTCGACTTATCAAGCTCTGCAACCTACCTCGCTAATTAATTTGGTTTCTTTTTCAAGCATGTAAAGGAGAAGCAATCTGAAGTCTGAAGCACTTTAGTAGTTCAAACTTCCAATAAGCAGAACAAGAAGTTTCTATAGGAAGATGATGGAAGCACATTATGAGGGTCCTAAATCATATCTAGGAATAACTATCAAGCTTAAGGTTAATTAGCACACACAAATGGTAAGTGTTCCTTTACATATAGAGAACCAAAACTTGTTCCATTTGTTTATTTTGATAACTCTCTTTTACTTTTACCTTCTGTACATGATCATTCTCTTCTTTTCTGCTTCACTCTGCCCAGATTGTTCTCATGTCTCAAAAACATATAATTTCTGATCCATGTGCAGGACTTTCTGAACTCTACTGTAATACCTCAGTTGCTTCTCATGGCTGCACTGCAAGATGTACATCAACCTGGTATAGGATACTTGAGAAGAAAATGGAAAGACAAAGGCCTTTCAACCTGGCAGAGACTGACTGAGGTGGAGAAGATTTTGGCTGAGACCTTAGGCCATCAACTGGACTTCCCACAAGGATCTTTTTCGGCCACAATGTCCACGGCAGTGACAGTAAAGATATTTATTCTACTTGTCCTCCAACACAAACCTACCAAACCCTAATGCAAGAGTCCCTCTCCTCTCTCTAGAAGCCCTCCGACTCCCAAGCTTCACCGTGATGAAGGCATGGTAGGTTTAGATTGAGACCATTGAGAAGCTGATGAATGAGTTGAAAAGAGGTGACTCAACTCAGAAAGGTAGTCAAGAGGCATTTGATGCCCTTACCTTCGTTGAGCTTGGAAAAGTCAATGAACGGACCACTTGATTCAGAATAAAAGCTGTCATCTTTCCTATCATGTAGGTCCTTGAGACACCTCTTCAGTACCACATGAGCCAACTTTCCTTGATTCTCCATGAAGCTGGGTCACAGGCCACTTGATGGATAGATATCCAGTAGGCAGACTGAAGAGTGTAATGGTGCAGAGAGGCATTGATAGAGTGAAGTACACACCTACTGTTGGAGTTGGATTGTGGACTAGCTGTCATCTTTCCTATCCATTCCCCTTTCCGGTTTCCCTTGTTGGCCTCCTTCCTCTCCAACTCAAAGCAATTGTTTCGACTCTCTTCTATCTTCCTTACCCTCTTTCTTCTCCATATGAAATGGGCAGATCTCCGTGCTGTGAGAAGGCTCACACCAACAAGGGAGCATGGACCAAGGAGGAAGGCCAGAAGCTCATCTCCTACATCAGAACCCATGGTGAAGGTTGCTGGAGATCACTCCCTAAAGCTGCAGGTCCTACTACAACTCGTTTGAGTTATGGATCTCATGTTTGATCTGCTCAAAGGACAATTCTCTGTCTGCTGATCTTTTTCTGTACTTGTAGGTTTGTTTCGATGCGGTAAGAGCTGCAGGCTGCGGTGGATAAACTACCTCCGGCCCGACCTCAAGCGCGGCAAATTTACAGAGGAGGAAGATGAACTCATCATCGAGCTTCACGGCTTGCTTGGGAACAAGTAAGTTACCTTCTTTTTACCTTTACAGTTCATAAACATGCATGCAATGTTGTTTCTATCGATCAAGGTGGTCGCTGATAGCCGGGCGATTACCTGGGAGGACGGACAACGACATCAAGAACTACTGGAACACGCACATCAAGCGAAAGCTCCTCAGCCGGGGTATCGATCCCCAGAGTCACGGCCCGGCCAGTGGCAACGCCGCTCCGCGACGACAAGGAATCACGACCATGGCGCAGGACATGATTCTCTCGGAAGCCCCAGTCGACTGCTGCGACAAGACCATCAGCAGCGTCGGCGCCAGCCAAGACGACGACCGCTGCGTCGACCTCGATCTCGGCCTCTCCATGAGCCTCCCTGGCCGCTCTCCGGAACGTCTTCCCCAAACTTCAGTTGCTCCGGCAACAGCTGCAGCAAGTAGCTGCGCTCAACCCCTTCGTCTGTGCTGCCACCTCGGTTTCCAAAGCGGTGAAGCTTGTGGTTGCCCCGCCACCAAAAACCCACGTCTACTAAGAGCTAACACTAGTTGAGATTCTTCTATGTGATGGTACTTCTCCCACAGTGTAAAGTGGAAGGATGCCAGTGGTTGCTTTCAAATGCCAAGTGAAATATTTTTCTCTCTAGGATTAATCTTAAAGAAGATTTATTTGTAAAATCTCTTTATTATTTATAATCTATTTTTAATTTTTTTTATATTTTTAACATATACTTTAACAAATAGACTTAAATATCTTTCTTTCCTCACTTTCTGTTCTTTTCTTTTTCTTTTCCCTTTTTTTTCACTGGGTAAGCATCACGAATAAAGAGTATGAGATAATGGTCGATGATCATATTGACAAAAAGCATAAGGGAGCATCGAGCAAAGAGTATAGAGCGACGATCGAAGATAGTGTCGGTAGAGAGCACGAGGCAATGACGGCTTCGATACTGAGAGCGAGATTGTGAAAAAAAAAATAAAATCAATAATACTAGGACCGTAGATAATAAAATAATATTTTATTATTTTTAAGAGAATATCAATAGCAAGATTGTCAAAAGAAAAAAGGGGTTATGAATATTATGCATCATCTTAAATTATATAACTCCATATGAAAGTTATAATTTGTTTTGAATGATCTAAGTCTAGGTTTGATTAGAAGAGAAAAATAAAATTAGATGACTGCAGCTCATAAACCGTTAAAACAAAAAAAATAAAAGCATGTAAGGCACTATTTTACTGTGCCAGTTCACTAAGGTGAGTTTCTAACAAGAGTACTCTCATTCTTTATTCATCTTTTTATTACAGTATTTCAATACTCTACATGTAATTCCTTCCCTGCTTAGGTGCGAACTATGAATCACAAAGCTTAGAATTCTTTGTTTATATAGTGATGTGTTAATTCCATGCTTCGTCAAGGTCAAGAGAGAACTTAGACTATCTTGATACATGTAGAGGTTGAGTATTCATGGTGTCTTAAGATGAGTTGATGTCTATAGCACACCACTGGCCTGACCTTTAGGCATAAAAGATTATTCCTCCTTGAACATCCAACATATGGGTGGAAATATATATATGATCCCGTCAAATTAAGCAAAGAAAAGAAAAAGGATACATTGGACTGGAATTTGGTGGTTGGTAGCCAAATGACCTCACTCAACGCTACTACCCCTTCCTTTGTTTCTGTTAAGCCATATTGTGCCATCTAAAAAAGTAACTTGTAATATTATTGATCATTCAATCATATTATTAAATTAATATTATAAGTTTATTTTAAAAAATGATTGAATGATCGTGATGAGAAAAAAAGAGGAGAGAGAAATAAAGAGAGAAAGTAAGGTTTCTGAGTTTTTCTGCTTGACGATCGGTTGCCAAACGTTGTCAGTTTCGGCTCAAATTTTATGTGGAGAATCCTTGCAGTAAACTTTACAATCCTAACGGTGTTGATCTGTAGTTTACCCTCTCTAAGGTACTTTCCTATGATATCCACTCTGTGAGACCTAGAATTCTCTTTTGAGGAGATCCATCCTACGTGATGAAGATATGCTATCCTTGAGCCAAGATCTATGATCTTGATGTTATTCTGATCCTCTAGTTATTCTAGAGAAGACCTACTGTAAACCTGTTATCATTATTATTGATAGTGGAAGTTTGAGGTGGACTACGGTCCCGTGGTTTTTCCCACATTGGGTTTTCCACGTTAAAAAGATTTGGTCTCATTGTGTGATTGATTTATTGCTCTGTTGTTTATGCTGTGCTGATTGATTTAGCATTTTGATATCAAGTTGGTATTTTGATGAGGAACCTATTTTGATACACAAAGAGGGAAAAGAATTATTCTGTATTAACAGGTTTCTTCCCAACAAGTGGTATCAGAGCATTAGGTTGTTTGGTGCTAGTTTTCTTGTGTGATTGAAATGGAGTCAGATGGTATGATTAAATTGAACTCATCAAATTATTTCACTTGGAGGCGTCTGATGGAAGATTTGCTCTATTGCAAAGATTTATATAAGCCTATCAAGGTTAAAGATAAACCTTCTACTATGGACGATAAAGAATGGGAAGTTCAACATAGAAAAGCTATTGCCTATATTAGAAGATGGATGGATATAAACTTGCATGAGCATATTTCAGATGAAATCAGAGCTGATGTTGTTTGGCAAAGGTTAGAAAATCTCTTTGCGAAAAAGACAGTGGGAAATAGAATTTCTCTCCTCAGAAAGCTTGTAAATTTGAAGTATAAAGATGGTGGC